TGAGCAAGCAACTGTGTGGGGTTTTGCTGTTGAGCAAAGGCAGCGCCACAACACAGATAAGGGATGACTGGGAGAACTCAGGCTGATGGCAGTCCAGAAATACACAATTACAGAAATACACCAAGCATGAAGGCTAACAACTCAAACAAATTAGCATTATTTGCAAGGGAGCAAAGCCARTAAAAGCTGAACAGATGAATACATTTGCATTAAAAATTCAAAGGGGGTGATCTGAAAATATCTTCATAAATGCACAGAGTAAGCAAAAATACAGAAAACAGCCAGGAAAACAGAACCATTGGGAAAAAAAAAAAGGAAAAAAAGCCAAGTAGGGTAAAAATTCATAACCTGGCTTACATGACAATGTGCATCTGTAGTAGATGGTTTGTTTTACATGTGAAGTATTTTTTTAGCAAGTGAGAGAAGTATTTTATCCAAAGGGAAAACTTTATGRTATTTGAGAAATGGTGAAAGGGATCAGAATATTAACTTAAAATCTGAGGTAATTTCTGGATAAACAATGAAGATTTCATGCCCTAATTAATGCCAGAACATTATCTGAGGGCTTCTTCCAGTGGGATTGAGACTGCAATTCTTATGTAWGCCTATAAGCAATACAGTGTATTGTAAATAACATCAGGATCAAAGTTCTTCGCCAGCTTGAGGAGGCTTAATTAAGCTTGAGGATGAAGGAGGTCCCAATGACAACAACTGGGTAACTTTAGGATTACTTTAATAACTCCACACATCTCTTAAAGGCATAACTGGAGGCACTGCTGCACATTCAATAAAGTGAATCCATAAGAGCATTTCTCCTCACTTGCAGATAACAGCATGCTTCAGGTGTAAAAGGGATTTCAGATCATCATTCAAAATCTGCTGTTCTGAGACCAACTACAGGCTACAAGTGCTTTTTGGAGTCTTTTGCTTTATTCTAAAACTACTTTGAAGCTGAAGAAATGTCCCTCTTGTATAAGAAAGATATTTACTTCAAAAGTTTTGTGTGTAACATTACAGTCACTTATTGGGAAAATGTGGAGAAACCTACCATCAATTTCCAGCTCAATAAAAGCCTTCATTCTAGGAGGCTGAACAAATCCATTAGCCTTTTTTTCTTCAGTAAAAGTGAAAATGTAAATCCTTACACCTGTAATGTGCAGACAAAACTATTTCCTTGCCCCAGAATGCCTTTGTTACTGTATTGGGTTTGCATCAACAAMCTTTGGAAGTGGAGGGTCTACAGAGGTGGCTTCTGTAGAAGCTGCCAGAAGCTTCCTCTGTGTCTGGCAGAGTCAGTGCCAGCTGGCTCCAGGACAGATCCACCACTGGCCAAGGCTGAGATAGTTAGAAACTCCTCTGTGATAACATGTTTAAGAAGAAGGAAAAAGTTATTGTGTAGTTTTAATTGMAGCCAGAGAAAACAGGAGTGAGAACATGTGGGAGGAACAACTCTACAGACACCAAGGTCAGTGCAGAAGGAGGGGCAGGAGGTGCWCCAGGTGCCAGAGCTGAGATTCCCCTGCAGCCCAGGGTGTAGCCCATGGTGAGGCAGCTGTGCTCCTGCAGCCCATGGAAGTCCATGGTGGAGCAGAGATCCAYCTGCAGATCTGAGACCCATGCCAGGGCAGGCGGATGCCCAAAAGAGGGCTCTGAACCCATGGGAAGCCTGTGCTGGAGCAGGGTCCTGGCAAGGACCTGCAGAACCATGGAGAGAGGAGTTCACACTGTAGCAGCTTTGCTGGTAGCACTTGTGACCCCATGGAGGAACAATGCAGGAGCAGTCTGTCCTTGAAGGACTGCACCCCATGAAAGAGTGACTCACACCGCAGCATTTTGTGAAGAACTGTGTTGCCAGCAGGATAAATTCATGTTGGAGAAGTTCGTGGAGAACTGTCTCCCATGGGAGGGATCCCACAGTGCAGCAGGAGAAAGACTCCTCTCCCTGAGCAGTGGGATAAACAACAGGCAATGAACTGGCCATAACCCCCATTCCCTGTCTCCCTATGCCACACTGGGGAAGAGGCAGAGCCAGGAAGGAGRGAGGGGTGTGGGGAAGGGGGTTTTAAGGTCTTATTTTACCTCTCATTATCTTGCTCTGATTTTGTTAGYAATAAATTCAATTATTATCTTTAATGCAAATTGGTTTTGCTCATGACAGTAATTTTGGTGAGTGATCTCTCCTGGGCCTTAACTCAGCGTATGAGCCCTACACTATATTTTGTCTCCCCTATCCAGAAGCAGAGGGGAATGAGAGAGCAGCTCTGATGGGTGCCTGGCATTCAGCCAGGGTCGGCCCACAACAGTCACCTAACATGACCAAAATGCTAAGTGCTAAAGCAATTACAATCCCAGTTACTCAAAGAAAGAAATCACATTTTCTTGGAAGAYTTTCAAATGGAAGAACAAAGCTCCAGAAAATTAAGTGTGGAAAATAATCCTCTATTCTCCTCACTCTTCAACAAGCTGGATTAATTTATTTATCTTTCACAACATTAATTTCTATGGTTCTGGCAAACTGATTCAGGTACTCAGAAGAAACAGACTATCTGGGAACAGGAAAATTATCTGTGTAGCAGGTGTTCCAGCAATTTCAATGATTTACACTCTCCAAAATGATACCATGAAATGAAAAAGTCCTCTTTAATTAAAATTTCCATTTAAAAACAAGTACGTATATATATATTTACCTTTATGAAATAAGCAGAACTGCTGCTAAGCAGGCTTAGAGCTGCTAAAGCTCTAGAATAAGCTAGTTTTAAAATGATATTTATAAATGAAATTTAGAGCCTAATGGGGTCACAACTGTCTTGACTAGTCCTAGTCTAATTAAGCATAAAAGAGATACACACTGGATTTTTTGACACTATAAGAAAACCTCCTCAGAATTCAGAGGTGTCTGTTCCTTGTACATCTCAAGGGGAGAAATACAGACTTTCAAGGTAATATTTAGAGCACCTAGGCTAATATTTTGCTCTTTGACCACTTTCCACTGCGCCCTCTGTGCACCTATGAACAATGAAAGGAAAAGCTGGAAACCCCAATATCATGTCTTACAGCCCTCAAACAGCTGTGGAAAGTGAGGCAAAGCAAAGATCAAGTAGGATTTGTGCTTTGTTCAAACTGGCATCAGCATTTTCTTTCATTATTATGTGAGCATTTTTGTATCATGTCTTTTGGGAGAAGGAAAGGCCTTTAGTGAAGCCCATGGATTTTTGCATACAATATTAATTGTAATACATTCATTGCTTTCTCTGCTTGAGCTTTAATTCTCCTTCTTTGGGATTTTTTATTTTCTACCCAGTGGAACCAGGTATTATTGAAACCTTTATAGTTTCTTCCAGAAGAAAATAGTAAAGCAAATGTAGTAAATATATTTCAACATCTTTCACACTGAAACCATTCTGATGTGGAAATATCTTTTGTTAAAGCTGGGAAAAGGCAATGGCMCAAGTACAAAAAGCAGAATAGCCCAAGTACAAGAGTAGGGTGTAGGAGMCCTGATTTTGGTGCTGCTGGTCTACCAAAAAACTTTGATGCACAAAGTCAAATGATTTTCTTGCTCTTCCTGTAAATAGTTGAAGTTAAAAACACTAAGACCCACCCTATGTCCTTCATGTGTTTTACCAGAAGACCAAATATTCTCACAGTTTTATGATGTCCAGAAAAGTTACCCACAACTGAAAGATCAGCTTCTGTCTGGAGAATCTGAGATAGCTAACACTGGTCTCTTGGAATAATTTTTCAGTGTATGTTTTTCTTTAATGAAGAAATAAACAGCTTGAGAGAACAAGCTATTTTTAAGAAAATAAGTAGGACTGTTCATCCATCACTGTTCATCTTAGTAAAATCAAGCATTCAGGATTAAAACCTGAGTTGTGTTCTACTTTTGAGTTTTTAAATCAGAACTTTACAGATCTTCTACAAGTTTTCATATGTTTTATACTTTCTGTGAATAATACTTTTCCTGTATCCTTACACAGGAGCTGATACTGTCAAGATGTTAAGAGACAGCTTTACAGAATCCTGTGTAGTCACATTWATAATTTAGATGCTTCCAAAACTGCTAATACCAGGGACCTGAGGTCCTTAACCTGTGGAGAGAGTGGAATTTTAGAGTGAAACTGAGAACATGTCAATTAGATGCCTGCAAAGGTGAATTGAATGCAAGCAGCTGTGGAATAGAGGGCACGGGTGAGCAGACTCATCAGCAGGCACTCATTCCATTGGCAGCACTGCCCTGAAAAGCCCATCTGCTCCCCAGTGAGGGCTGAGGYGCTCAGACCAAAGGAACATCTGCCTTGAATCCTGTGTAAAGGTCCTGGAAGTGGATCCCATCTGCTAACACCACACTTCAGAAGAGAGCAGCTTGTTTTCAACAAGGATGTATTTTCATCTCGAGGACAGAGTCCTTGTTCCCCACAGCATCTCAGAACAAGGACTGAATGTTCCAATTGAAGTTCCCTCTTCATCAGGTAAATCTCAGGTCAATTTTTACACTGGTGCTGGCACTGTCAAAGTTAATACTGCACCTGCTTCATGGCTGAAGGGAGGGAGCCAGCCTACCTGAATGCCAGTTTTACAGATACATCCAGGACTACCTGATGCTCCAGGGATCAATTTAAACTTTGCAAAAAGGCACTCTCAGAAATACAGAAATCATCATCTTGAAAACAAACCCAGCCCAATGCTCAAGCATTCTGTATAGTAACTGTTTGAAAAATCTTCTTCTGGCCAGTAACTGTAACAAAGAGCAGAATTTCTCCCGGGAAGCAAAGAAGAAAAAGAGTTCAAAATTAATAAATACAACTTGTTGGCTTCACTAGCCTTTCTGAAAAATCTGCTTTCTCATTCCAGAGAACCTTTAATCCACTAATGTAGAAGCATATGCTCTATTCTTAGCTGAATATAATGTAGTGGATAAYTATAATTACTTCAAGAGAATAAGGAACAGTATCAACCAATATGTATTATAAGTCAGGCAAGGTATTTATTTTGTCAGCAGTTGGAATATACAGCTGCTCATGGTTTTTAGTACTTTACATTCATAATTACATTTMTTTGCTCATTTGCAAACTAGTATGAAGTGCTACGTCTCTTTCCAGCCACATAAATCACAAACTGTAGACATCATAAACATTATACAGAAATATGCATTCCATGTGAGTGGGATACAAGAATGAGAGGGAAGGGAGACAGAAAGTGGTGCTCACTCTTACAGATTTAAACCAAATTCTGCTGCGAAAGAGGATCTGAAGGCTTTGAAATCTGTGCTGCCTGTTGTGTACACAGTAACATATCCATGCATTCAGTTTAATATTTTCCAGGAAAATCACAAAGCCCTCTCAGGCTACAGCAGCATATRATCTCCTTGAATGTTTTCCTGAGCTCCTGACTCCGGAATGCATAGATAAGTGGATCAATGATGGAATTGCACATGATGAGGATGAGGTAGAAGTTAAAGTGGGACATGAAGCACACACAGTAAGGGTTGTAGGGGCAGGAGATATAGAAAATCAAGTGTAGGAAAAACGGAGCCCAGCACACCACAAAGACTCCAATCAGGATGGTGAGAGTGATGGCCCCTTTCATGTTGGCCCCTTGGCGAATAGGGCCAGTCCCTGGGAGAACAGCAATCTTTTTTATGTGCATCCGAGCCATCATAAACATGTGGACATAGAGGGACGCCATGAGAATGAGCATAGTGAAGAACATGCTAATAAGGCAGATGATGACAACACTGCTGTCAGAGTAAATGATGAACAAAATGCCTGAGACCGTGCAAGCAGCCCAGATGCATGTGATGATAACCCCTACACGCTTCACTGTCATGATATTATGGTACTGGAGGGCGTAAAAGATAGTAAAATACCTGTCCACTGCTATCGAGAGAAGGCTGCAAATTGATGCAAGCAAGGAACTGCAAATGACTGAGTCGATGACATTGTCAATGTTTATGGTAAAGCTCTGAGCATCTGTGTCTGTGTTGTTTAGCAGCGTGATGACAATGGTTTCTGATCCATTGGAAACACTCACTAGCATGTCAGCCACTGCCAAGCTACAGATGAAGAAGTACATGGGCGAATGGAGGTTCTTGTTCTTGGCTATGGCCACAATGACCAAGACGTTCTCCAGCAAGCTGATGATGCCCAGAGTCACGAACACTTCGGGGGATACAAAGAGTTGCTCGTAGCAGCCTCCCGAGGAGTGGCCCTTRGCATTGGGCTCGCTGGCTCCTCCGTGCGGTCTGTAGCTGTGGTTCCAGAAATGGAGAGGCTGGAGTGTCCCATGGTGCTGGGTGAAATTCATCTTATGGAGATTCCTTTTGGCTTCCTGCTTTTAAAACTCCTGYTCCTTTTGCATTCCTCTGAAAATCTTCTTTGGCTTATCAGCTTGAGGCAAAAAAAATAAAACATAAAAAAAGCTGGGACTGAGGCAGGTAGCAGTTCAGAACACTTTGACTACTGTGAAAAAAGAAGATTTCAGACTCAGAAGAACTGATTTACACAGACACAGTTTCTCATCATTATCACATTTACCTTAATGATCAATGCCACACAGTTGCAACAGTCTCTACATTTGCATCATTCTGTGGTCAGTTCCTTTATAGTTCACTGGGATGCTGCAAGGCTTTTGTGGTCTTTTCCATTAAAAAGATGTGATCATAGAATGCCCAAGTGATTTCTGCGGAGCAGGAACTATTTTCAAACTGCAAGCCCCAGTCTCTCTGTCAGACAGTGCATGCTGGCTGCCTGTTTTAYGGTGTGTGGAAGAGAAAAATATTCAGGRCACTCYCCGCCTCTGCTTTTCTTTCCAGCCAATAGGACTCAGGAGCCGCAGAAAGTGGAGGGGCTGCTGACKGCGAGCRTCTCTGAAACATCACACGGCACAGSGGATTCAGATGCAGCACAAGTTACCAGTAGGTACAGCAAAGCAGACAGGCTACCGGAGATTTGCAAATCTTCTTTAGATTCTCAGAATAATATTTCAATACTGATTTTCAATTAGCAAACTTTCAGTAGGGTACTTGCAATCTTATAGATTTCCTGCAGCTGAACTGACAGATTTTTATTTTTCAGACAGTGATTTACTCTTGCTCCTTCTGTGGCACAAACTTGTGCTGCCTTGCATATGTGGYAAAATAAGAACAGAGAAGGGAAGTAAAAGAATGCAAATTTCCTTCTGGTTCTCTCTCCCAGGTCTCCGTTGCCTTGCTGTTTTTCTATGCCTTAGCTGTCCATTTCCAAGGTGTACTGCAAGGCTGCATTATACCCTCTAAAAATTCTTTTAASTGTTAAGAAATGGAGGCAGTAAAGGACCAAAACCAACACGAGACAAAGTCACAAATGGCTTGATAAACTGTCCTAGATAAGATAGTTTTTTCCAGGTAATAGTCCTCTTAATAATCTAATTTTTGAGAAGCAAAAGATGATGGAGCTGATTCAGAAGCCCTGTCACCATCAGAATTGGACAGGAATTATGACATTGGCAGGAAAAGAAAATATGTATTTAGAAGAGATGAAGGAAAGCAACAGGAGACAAAGTTGCAATCTGTGAGAAACAGAGCTCATACAATGGAAACGACACAAAAGCATCAATAAATCTTCTAGAAGTAGGAGCCCTAGAAGTAAAGGGATGTCCCTGTGATTACTAGGCACGAGCTGAAAGTCAGCTTGTGTGCAGTCTCTCAGAAAAAGCCCTTGAGAATAAGAGGGAAAAGAATGCCAAATTAATATGAAAAGACAGGACAAAAGTTGTTTTGCTGTTACGTCTTCAAGCACTGTACTGAGGACTGAAAAACAAATACACTGAACAAAGTTTAAAATACAGATTCATTTTAAAGATAGAGAGGCTATAGGAAAGCCAGTCACTGCAACTGTGAGTTTGCAAGGAAGCTGTTTACATTTCCAGTCGACTACCAAGAAGGCTCTGGAGAAGTCTGCATTTGATGCAAAAGCCTATTTCCTATAACCTCTCAAAATGTTTTCATCTGTGCATTAGCTGGTTTTAAAGGGAACCAGCTAATTAAGAGGTACAGGATTACAGCAAGCATGTAGAAGCACAACTATCTGTGTTCAACATCTCAGCACCAGGGTGAAGTGTGATTTTTCCCATTTGGATTTGCTGCAGACCTATGGTTATGAAGACTTCTATCAGAAGAAAAGCCTCAGTCAATTTTTTTCTGGGCCCTTTCCCAGATAGGTTTCTTCATAAAAATGGAACATAAACAACCAAGACAAACAAAATAACCTGTGGCACAGGAAATCCCACATTTATCAGTTTGGAAAACATCACTTACCAGCAACAYGCTTGAAATAAATAGTCTGATGCTGAAAGGGTGAGATTTTTTTTTCCTGTCAAGACATAATGCAAGCCAGAATTCAAAAACATATTTTACCTAGTTACTGATCCTTGGGCCAGTATACAGTATTCACTAACTCCTGTCCCTGACAGGACTTGCACACCCAGCCCTTAAAAAACAGAGCTACACTGCCAGAGCAGTGAGAAAAAAAAAATTATATAAAGACTGATGGGGGAGAACAGCAACTCCCCAGATAAGGTATCTTTCCTAAACCTGCATCCAGAAATGTGTCATCTTCAAGTTATCCCAGGGAAGCAGCCACTCAGCATCTCTTCTTTTGTGAACCTCTCCATGTCGGAAGTGCCCGCGACACAGGGATCTCTCACTTACTTAAGTGGACACAGAGCAGGTGAGGCTGGCAAGAAGAGAGAGAAGCTTCCTCTAAGGAATACTGCCCTTTTTGTTCCAGTTGTCTGTCTGCCTGTTGCTCTCCTGGCTCCTCCCTTTCTCTTTCTCTCCCATTATCTTCATTTTGATTCCCATTTATCTTTCTATTTACTCTCTTCACCCAGAAGCTATCCAGACAATGTTCCATCCTTGATTTTTCTCTAGATGTGGTCATAAAAATACAATATTGGTTATAACAATGGAARGAAAAGCACACTTTTTTCCTACCCACAGCCACCAATTTCTCACCTCCAAATTTCTGCTTGTGCTCTGCATTCTTGGGGGCACATTTGTTTTAGTGCTCACTAAAGCAGCACACTTAAGGTAGCTTAGCAACTTCGTTGAAGCACTGAAGAGGTGAGGTACCTTTAGCCTGCTCTTACTGAGACGTAAAACAAGCTACATGAGCATTGTTTTTAAATGAGAGAAGACACATGTACATCTAATTACTTCTATGGTAAAAAGATAGATGCATGTCTCTGGCTCCCATTTAATAAGACCATATAATGTTAAAATTGTTCAAAATATCCTGGCTCTCTCATGCCTGAAAATATGTTAATATTTTAATTATCTGTTTCATAGATAACAGAAGCATTGCCTAACAGATATTGACTAAATTGTTTTTTAAATTAAAAAACTAAAGCTGAGCCGGTATTTCTTTTAAAAGCGGTGGCTGGCAAACACTGTGGAAAACCAGATATGGTTGCAGAAAACTAGAAACTGGTAACAGTGATATATTAATATGAGCTCCAGCTCTTAAGAGAAATAAACCATCAAGAAAGATTTGAGCAAAGCCTCCCCTTTCAATGTAATTCCCTCATGTTCTGTGCTTTGTTTGCAGCTACTCTTYGACACCCACCCTCCAGACAGGGTTGCAGTCATCTCCACCTCACAACATTTTTGAGAAATGAATTATCCTCTGGCAGTTGAATTTGAAAGTCAGAAGAAAACATTCACTGAAATCAATGAGCAATCCCAATAGTGATACAAGAAGACAGACAGAGACATGAGCAGGCTGTACAGGTCGTCTGTGGGAGAAAAAGAAATGTAAAGGGAGCTCGTACAGGCCCTTTCTTGCTCAACTGCAGTGTGTGAGATCTCTTTGGATGCCATGACCATGTTACTCAKGCACAGAGATGATATTTAGCACTTCAGCATCTGCAAGTGGAAATAGAGGAGYGGCTGTGGRAAGCTGGGTAGAGGAGCCAAAAAAGCAGATTATTAACATTAAATGAGTCTCTCGGATTTGTGCACTGGTGCTACACAAACGGTGATGCTGCATTTATATGTGCAAGCATAATTCACAGAAGAATTTGATTCTATGTGCTCAGATCCAGTTTCTCTGTGCATTCAAAACCTCAGTTCCATAACTACACTAAAAACACCATAGTATATTTTAGCATGCTGATTCTGAAATTTAAAAAAAACAAAAAACCAAAAACAACAGAGCCAGGCAATTAAACTTTGGAAGCTTCTATGAGATTTTAGCCTGCATCATCTCTCTCTGCTGCAGCAGCAGCAAATTCCACCCAACACTTAAAATACTCACCAAAAAATGGCTAAAATAATGCAGTGTACCTCTACCTCCTATCCACAAATCTCTTTGGAAGAAATAATTTTTTGATTCTTTCTTGTTCACTAAATTAGCATCTGAGCAATATGGGGATACTTGTTTGTTCATATATTTGGACTGGTAGTTTTCTTTCTGTCTCACAACTTCCCTCTGGATCGAATCTCTGTTCTTTAGTCTGTCCACAATTCACCTTCTCAGATAGTTACAATCTGAAAATCTATGGGCGATGCATTCTGTATTAATATCCCTGTTAGCAATGGAGATACCAAAAARTCATTCCCAAACTCCATTGTTGCCTGGTGTTCAGGGCTTTGATCATTATCTTTTGGGACCATATGCAAATAAAAATGCCGGTTTTATTTTAAAATAAATTTAAAATAAAAACTAGTGGAAAACATGTCTAACACATTTTCACCTAACATTTATTTTGGAATATTGATTTCTCATTTAAGGTAAAAGCAATTTTTAATTTAAGGGACTTCAGTGCTGAGAGCAGATGTCTCGGTRTCTTGCCTCTTTTCCTCTTGTCTGCTAGTTACAAGAATTGAAGAACTGTTTAGTCGGTCTGGAGACTGAAAAGCAGGTAAACGTTGACTTTTCTGAAAAACAATACATTTGCACTTACTTGAAGGTGTTGTAAATGTGCAGAAGTGGAATGTTTTCCATTAAAATGGCATGAGAAGCACAGAGGCTTTAAACACTAAGCTGTTTAAATCTGATCTCATTTCCATTTTAGGTGATCAACATTGTGATCATGGAGATTATTAATTTGCACTCTGTGCAGCAATCATCATCCTTGTTGTAGTCTTTCCTCCTTCACCCCTTCTCTCATAAATAATCAATTTTCTTTTACTTGCTTGTAGGTTTAGGTGCTTGTCTGTTCAGATTCATCTGAAGCACTTGGTTCAAGTGACTCCATAATCTCCTTGGTATTAATATCCTCTCCAAATACCTCTCCAAAAAAACATAGAGCAGCATCTGGGATAAAGTACAAATTAAATATTGCCTTCAATCCAGATCAGGAAACCAAAAAACAGTAAAACTGAATTTGTATTTTCCTTGATTTTTTTACAAATAAGCTGTTTTCTAAATTATTCATGATTTTTTTTWAAATACACTGTTAAGCTAGTCTTTCTCTTTGTTCATGTCCTTTGAACACAGTTACAACACAATACTCCTGACATCTACACATACTTCTTCACTCCCCACATGCACCTGAAAGTCATTTTCAGC